GCTCTTCGCCATGACCGACGCCCCCAGCGTCCGCCTTCTTCGCGACGCCCGGTCTATCCCTATGATATACGGAACGAACAGACCCACTCCGCCAGAGAAGACGATGTTCGATTCATCGACGAACAAAGAGAGTTTCGACCTCTCACAGTTTGCTACTCCTGTGGTGTACCAGGACATATTTCGCGATTTTGCAACCGTCGACGTGTAGCCCCACGGTATGGCTACCCACCACACTTTGCACGGCCTTCCGAACGACTTCGCGATGACCCGCGAGCAACGTACTATGGCCCACCACAACACTTCACACGATCGTCGGATCGACCGTACGACGACCCTAATGCAACACACCTGCTGCCTCGCGACGACTACTGGACACGCAGCTTCCGGAACCACTCCCCTACATCTGACAGGAGCTTGACGCCTCCACCGCTTCGTGTTCCCAGTTCTCCTTCACCACGGCGCCGAAACACGTCTCCTTTGCCACAGGAAAACTAGCAAGCGCGGCCGATGGAGGTGAGGTCGCCGGAGACGTGCTAATATCAGAAATACCTCCTGTGTTGATGCTCAAGAACAAAGTACGTGTTTTTGTTGACGGTGTGCCTGTGATGGCTTTGGTGGATACGGGGGCAACCATTTAGGTCATGAGTGTGTGTTTTAAAGATACCTTGGGGCGGAAAGTATTATTTAGGTGGAATCAAGCTGCGAAGTTTTGCGGAGTGAGTGGTGAGGCACTGCATCCTGTTGGTGTGTGTCAAGCTAACGTATTTCTCGGAGGCCGCGTTATCCCAACAGAGTTTGTGTTATTCCGCAGGCGACACATGATGTTATTTTGGGTATGGACTTTTTGAGGGAGTGTGGTGCGACTGTCGACTGCCGCTCAGGGACAATAGTCTTGAGTTATCACGTTCCGCCAGCACTCTTGGAAAACCCTGTGGATGGTGAGACGGCATTGTGTGTCTGTGGCGACACTATCATACCACCGTTATCAACCGTTCGTGTACCTGTTGGTTGCAGCGACAGCTATTCCGCCAACTTTGATGCCAACGTAGAACCAGTGTACACCAACTGCATGAAAAAGAATGTGTTGATCCCACATTGTGTGGTGTCGATCAGACGTGGACGCGCTGGTTTATGGACTGTCAATTGCTCTACAGAACCCGTGATGTTACCAGATGGTCTAAAGTTAGCCGCCGTGAGTGGACAACACGAGGCCTTACTGGTGACCGAGCTTAGAGATGCGCCGGAAGAGCATCGTAGTCACAGTTTCGAAACGGCTCTTCTGTCAATGGTGAATAAGTCGCTGAGCACAAGTGAACGTCGAACATTGGTCAATGTACTTTCGAAGCACGTCTCTGCATTCGACTTTGCGCAGAAAGACAAAGCGCCCCTAATCCCTGCTTCTCGGACATGTCACACTATCAACACGGGTTTGGCCAATCCGATTAGACAAAAGCCATACCGTATTTCGCCATCCGAGCGGCGGATTATTAATGAGCAGGTGACCGAAATGATTGAAAACGGTATCATTCAAGAGTCGGTAAGTCCATGGGCAGCTCCAGTAATTCTCGTTAAAAAGAAAGACGGATCCTGGAGATTTTGCGTCGATTATCGCCGATTGAATGCTGTAACAAAAAAAAAGACGTGTACCCACTTCCACGTATTGATGATGCCATAGACTGTCTGCATTCGGCCTCTTACTTTTCCTTCGGTAGACTTAAGATTGGGCTACTGTCAAATTCCCATGCATCCTGAAGATAAAAAAAAGACAGCCTTTGTAACACCTGATGGCTTTTTGAATTCAACGGGATGCCATTTGGACTGTGCAACGCGCCGGCGACGTTCGAGCGATTTATGGACACTGTTCTTCGTGGCTTGAAGTGGAGCATTTGCATGTGCTATCTCGACGACGTCATCATCTTTGGGCGCACCTTCAGCGAACACAATTCACGTCTGGATACTGTACTGACTTGCATAAGAAACGCTGGCCTTGTTCTTAACTCAAAGAAATGCCACTTCGGAGACCGACAAACCCTTGTTCTCGGGCACCTAGTCGATCAGGAGGGCATCCGTCCAGATCCCCAGAAGACAGCAGCCGTTGAAGCATTCAATGTGCCGCGCTCTGTGAAGGAGCTCCGCAGTTTTTTGGGGCTTTGCTCTTATTTTCGCCGCTTTATACCTAAATTTGCCGATGTCGCGTATCCGCTGACATGTTTGCTACGGAAGAATACTCCCTTCGAGTGGACTCCGGAGTGCGACTCCTCTTTTTGTCAATTGAAGTTCCTCCTGACGTCGCGGCCTGTTCTTCAACACTTCAACCCATCAGCTCCAACCGAACTGCACACAGATGCCAGCGGCATAGGAATTGGTGCCGTCCTAGTTCAACGCTATGGTAACCGCGAGCACGTGATTGCATACGCAAGTCGCTCCTTGAGTAGGCCCGAGCAGAATTACACTGTCACAGAACAAGAATGCCTCGCGGTAGTATTTGCGATTCAGCGGTTTTGGTCTTACTTATACGGACGCCCTTTTACAGTCGTCACCGACCACCACTCATTGTGTTGGCTCGTCAACCTTCGGGATCCTTGCGGCCGTCTAGCGCGCTGGGCACTTCGGCTCCAAGAGTATAACTTTATAGTCTCGTACAAAAGTGGTCGACGACACGCCGACGCAGATTGCCTTTCGCGCATGCCACTGAGCACTACAGAGTGTGACGCCGATGACCTCAATCACCTCGTAGCTTCTGTGTCACCAAAGTTTCCCGACCTCAGTACTTTCAAAGATGAACAGCGAAAGGACACCAGGCTATCATCGCTTTGCACAGCTCCTACGGCATGCCATTTCTGTGTACGCAACGGACTCCTATATAAGAACTTTTCCAGCACTGGCGCACGTTTCCTCCTAGTAGTGCCAGAAACCCTTCGGACAGCCATTTTAGGTGTGATGCACGACGATCCTACGTCCGGACATTTAGGTTCTGCGTGGACGCTTTACCGTGCTAAGGAACGCTTTTATTGGCCAGGAATGCGACAGTCAGTCGAGGCGTATGTGGCCAGCTGCACACAGTGTCAACGCCACAAACGCCCGTCTACTGCTCCGACTGGTCTTCTACAGCCCTTGTCACCTCCAAGCACACCTTTCCAACAGGTGGGCATTGACCTCATGGGCCCTTTTCCAAAGTCGGCTAAGGGCAATCGCTGGATAATTGTATGTGTCGATTACCTCACGCGCTACTGCGAGACGGCGGCCATACCAACCGCAACTGCCAGCGACGTCTTTGTGTTCCTGCTGCAGCACGTTATCCTCCGACATGGACCACCACAGGTGATCATCAGTGATCGTGGGCGACAATTTACGGCAGACATAGTAGAAGAGCTGCTTCGATTGAGTGAGTCCCGCCTTCGTCACTCGTCGCCATACCATCCGCAAACAAATGGGCTCACGGAGCGCACCAACCGAAAAATTGTAAACATGCTCTCTATGTATGTGGCATCCGACCACAGGAACTGGGATGACGTGCTACCATTTATAACGTACGCGTTCAACACCGCTAAGCATGAGACAACAGGCTATAGCCCCTTTTTCTTGATGTACGCACGACCGCCACGGCACACACTCGACACAGTTTTGCCATTCTCGGCGCACGAGAACCTCTCAGTCACCGAAATCCTCTGCCTTGCAGAAGAAGCGCGTCGTATTGCTCGTCTACGCACTTTGGCATCACAGGAAAAATCGAAGGTACGCTATGACGTCCACCACCCGCCTGTAACTTACCACCCAGGCGACTTAGTGTGGCTGTGGACTCCGGTACGAAGACGCGGGTTATGCCAAAAGTTCTTGGCCACATACGACGGACCGTTTGTCGTTCTCGACAAAATCACGGAAGTCACATACACAATATCTCGCCTCACGAGAAGTGGTAGAAGAGCCGCTAAAACCCAAGCAGTCCATGTCGCTCGACTGAAGTTGTACACACCAAGGTGAATCGGTTACCTCGCCCGGCGGGCTTCGTCTGCGAGGGGAGGAATGTTATGCATGCCTTGGAAGAAAACGAAGATGGGTGAACATGCTGGCTGCCCCAAGCTGGAGGAAGAAAGAAGACGACGAGACTGCGATCATCAACCTGTTGGCTGCTCCGGCGCTTCTCTTCGCGACCAAAATAAACGGCTCCTTCAGCCGTATACGTCCTGGTCCTCCTTGTGCGTAACAATATACAAAAGCGAACATCTGTAATTTTATCTTGATCGAAAGTATATAGGGACCATTCAGAAGTCTTTCTGCCGGCACAGTTGGCGTAGGCAGCTACCTCGAGGTTTCGAATAAATTCCAAGAGCGACGACACCAATACATTAACACTGAGTCAAACTGTGTGAGGAAAGGAGTCGTTGACATCCCAGAAGGGGCTCAAACACATCGGCCATGCCCGTCGGAGATATGACCGTAGAGTGCTCTACGCGGCTCGTACTTTCAGCGGATGAGCGCCGTCGCACGCGCTCTATATTGACCGGTAATCAGCAGGTGGCTCATACCTGTGCAAGTGAAGTGGTCTTACCAATGCTTGCGTTAAAGCGATGTACAGCACGTAGCTCGCTTCGCTCGCTGCAGCGGCCATGGTTCCTTATGTTAGTGTTTTGTTGAGATGTACAGCACGTAGCTCGCTTCGCTCGCTGCAGCGGCCATGGTTCCTCATGTTAGTGTTTTGTTGAGTGATGCCCTATCGGATGCTAGAGGAGTGCTACCTCGTGTACCCTTTCAACTTGTTGCTTTCATATGCAGCGTCTCGCCCTTCGTAAATTTAACTTTCTTTTCTGGAAGCGTTAGTGGCTGAAGACGCATGTGTGGACCGACCCTCAAACGTGTCATGACTTGCGACTGTATCTTGGAAGATGCACGATAATACACATCGATTCCTGTGACGAATAATATTTTTCAAGTGGGCATTAGGCTTACGAGTGAAGGATCAATATAGCATTTAAAAAAAAGTGAAAATCTCAATGTTTCACCATTTCTGGGTGATTCTTGTTGCATGGTGTCCCTTCCTGGAGCAAATATTGGTACAACATTACTCTTGTTCTGTGTGTCCATTATCTCGCAATAAAACCTGCACGGATCCATCGTCCCCGTCTGCAAGTGAAGGAAAAGCAAATAATTTCCAATTTCCGGCAGGAAAGCACCACTCAGGCCAACGAATAAAACGCATGCGTAATATAGATAAGATGTGAGAATAAGGTAACTTTTAATTACAGGTGGTTAATGTTTGCTCGGCGCATTGGTTGTACGTACAAAGTACCCGAGCGAGATACTTTGTCTCTGTTGAGAGGAGTTAGTGACAAGTCGCAATGCTCGCGATTTTTGTATTGAAGAGGCAAGTTGTCTATTTCGACGTCTATGAACGTTGGCTATGTTGAAGTAACACAAAATGTGACCTTATCAGTGACTGTACCCGTAAAATAAGATAGAGAAGAGTGGCGGGTCCTACAAGAGCTATTTCAGGTGTGAGTGGTGCTGTTTTGTTTTCAGCTGTACAGAAAAGAGTACCGCGAATAAATGTAGCGTGTACATACTCTCTTTGGATGGTAAAATCCCCGTTTCTCCACAAAAGCGAAGCAAGGAATGCAATGGTCACAAGTTATGGCACGATGGACGTGAAGCAACTGGATACTTCCCCTTCTACTTAAACACAAATGACGCTCGAAAAGAACGTACAGGCTGAAACGAAACTAACAATTAAGTGACCCAGTTGTTACTTATTTGTTGATTGATCTGCGAGGTTTAGCGTCCCAAAACCACCATGTGATTATGAGGACACCGTAGTGGAGGGCTCCGGAAATTTCGACCACCTGGGGTTCCTTAACGTGTGCCAAAATCTAAGCACACGGGCTTACAACATTCCGGCCTCCATCGGAAATGCAGCCGCCGCAGCCGGGATTCAGAGTATGAAGGAAGGTGTACATTGAAGGGCTTGGTCGGCGGTGCTGACAAGTTTTGACGCTGCCAGCGCAAGTGTTTGATGGTGCCAGCGCTTATTTTTTTATAACTTCTGCGCTGGAAGCAACCCCTCTAAGCACCCCGCGGCGCTTTGTCATGCAAACCTCAGCTTACCCGTTGTTCTACATCACACATGAGTAGACATATGGGCCACTCTTTAGTTCGCGTCTCCGCAGCAGCTGAATATAACGCAGGAACGCGTTTATAAATCATGCCTTCAAACCATCTCGCAGGTGGCATTGAACTCACCGAAGCGCCTTCGAGATCAGCGTACCGCTAGCGGTAAGTGGTGCGTTCAATTCACTCCTTGCTTGTCGGTAGTAAACCAAAAGAAACAGCAGTGATTTAGCACGGCTATGAGAGGACGTATTTAACATGAACTATGAACGCACGCACAGATGGATGGAAGGACAGACGGACGGCCTAGAGAGCAAGCTCCCGCAGGTTAAGGGTCAGCCCATTAGTGTCACGTGAATTTCAGGAGCTTCCAGTCCTTCCCCAGCGCGCCAGCTGTGTGCCGTGTGAAGTTGCTGCTTATCGGGCATGCGCCGCATTGCTCGTGATAAGCCATGTGAAGCTGCCTCAATTCGCCGAGTGAAGCTTATACTACGAAAAAAAATGTCACAGAGTTGCCTAACGAAGCACGCTGCGGAGTGGGAGATCACAGGTTTGAATCGGGGTAGTTCACTTCGATATGTTTTTCTTTCGGGTAGTTGTTTATATATAAATGCACACATACTTGGACGGGACACGACGCCGATGACGAAAATTCACCAAGGATCTCCGACATAGTGCCTATTGTAATAAAATGCATAGATTTGATTGATTGATTGATATCTGGGGTTTAACGTCCCAAAACCACCATTTGATTATGAGAGACGCCGTAGTGGAGGGCTCCGGAAATTTTGACCACCTGGGGGTTCTTTAACGTGCACCCAAATCTGAGTACACGGGCCTACAACATTTTCCGCCTCCATCGGAAATGCAGCCGCCACAGCCGGGATTCGAACCAGCGACCTGCGGGTCGGCAGCCGAGCACCTTAGCCACTAGACCACCGTGGCGGGGCAATAAAATGCATACAGTTCCTCATACGTTCGCCTTACATTATTTGAAGGCAAATACCATCTTTTACAGCGAAAGCTGTTATGAGGTCAAAACTCGGGTCAGTGGGCGCCGTAGTTGTCCTGCCGCTGCCGCTAGTGTCCGTATACCCACATCTCACGAAATTAGAGGAAAAAAAAAACCTAGTTCTGATGCCAGCATTGGGTCTCGAACGCGATCCGCTGGGTACCAGCCCAGTATTCTACCACTGAGCCACGCTGGTGCTTGGAACTTATTTGCAAACTTGCCTTAGTCGGGCTTGATGTCGGGAAATAAATCGCGTTAATACGACTTATAAAGTGTTTTAGAACAGCAATGGAACAACCAGGCGTCACACAATGTGAATAGCGTAACGAGTGGCTCGTCCAATGTTCCAACCCATTACGAAAAGCTGGTTCTTGTTCAGCTACTAACTGTGGCGCATACCCACTTCAGGCATAATTCTTCATCGTCAGTCAGCCACTGCATGAACAAGTGGGCACGAAATTCCTTGCAAGTGTTTTGCGGATACCATGCTTCTCGGAATAATGACGAAAAAATAGCATAGCGAATGCCAGAATAATACCCAAAAGTTTTGATTAGTGAAGTATTGGGCATCAAGCAAGTGTGCTTGCAGCAGTTACCCAATGAATGTTTAGAGCTTCTGAAAGGCCGCTCTTCTAGCATTCGCTGTGACTGTGCTGCACCTTCTGCGAAAGCCTGGCATTTTCTATTTTCTTTTCAGTCGATGTATTGATCCTGCTCCGGCCCCTTAACTGTTTTCACCACTGAAGTGTTTTGGAATTTCCTGTGACAACATGACGTCAGGTCATGTGAAGTGAGATGTTCTCATAATGACGTCACAAATTTTGTGTAATATCATAACGGCGTGATATAATGATCATTTCTGCATTTCTGATGTTTACGCCAGTGCAGCCAGACGATCACAACAATGACCAGTTGTGTTTCATTAGGCATCTTTTGTTGGTGCTTTAATAAATGAAGAACCTTGTGTACACGCTGCATAGAGGAAAAAAACGTCTTGAGTCGAGCGAGTATATGAACCTGTATGATTTGAGATAGACTATATAACTGCCAACTAATAATCATAGTGACATGTCCTTGCTTTTTTATACGTGTTTTTCTGGAAGTAAACGTTGGTTAGTATGTGCCTGTTTGTGCTCTCTTCCTTCTTGTTGGTGTTTGTTTCGTTTGCTTTTTGCGCAATATGCTGTTGCACAGTGCAATACCAACTCATTCAATGCTCTGTTCTTCCGAGCGACTAAATTGCTTTAACCTTTTGATTCGAAGGATGTCCTCATACCTGATGTAGGTGACTTTATTATAGTGCGGTAAATAGTTACGGCAATACTCTCGTCTGCCTGTCACAGTTTCAACTTCGGCACTTTTGTTTGGTAGGACAGCAATGTAGCCCTTTTTTAATATCGTGGAGGCACTTAGAGTTGGGTGATCTGCGTTAAAGTGTAATAAAAATGAGTGGATTATTGATGGAGCATTCAAGTTACTACAAAGGCACAAAAACGAAACACATGACAACAACAAAGAACAGACGTCACAGGAACATTACTCAGCCTGTACGTTTGAAATGCGCGGGATCGTGCAAGAAACAAAAAAAAAAATCCGACATGTATAGCACAGTGGCTGACCATTCGGCATGTTGGTTCATGACCCGAATTGTTAAACTGGGTTCCATGTTTCCTGCATCTCTTATTTAGATTCCAGTATTACTTGCGCAGCTTCACAGTTTCAGTGTATATCATTGTCACATAGAAGTGATGCACATTAGCTATTACGTTGCTTTAGCGCAACGAACCTCAAAGGAATACAGACAAAATATTCAGGTGTTGTTATTGGTTTTTGTGTAACGAAAAAAGACCAAGTCTTGAATACCCTGGAAATGTGCACTCGTAAGCACGACTTCACCCTGAAAAATTATTGATGATAGGTTTTCGAAAGTCGTTTCGTTTTCTACACTAAACCGACGTCCCGACTTGGTGTGTGGATTTCCATTCACGGGCTCGCGCAAGATAAGAAGACGTTTCACTGTGATGCTTCTTTAGGGACACACGAGCGGCCATTCTGTAAATTTTTGTAACGCGGAAAAAATTGCCGCAAAATATTGCTGATCGTCCGTTCTCTGTAATTTGGACGGCTTTAATAAGCTAGTTTGGACCCAAATGAAATATTACCCTCTTTAAAAGCGAAGTCACAATTCCGCTCCCGAATTGTGAGTATAGTGTGCGACATAGATTTTAGCCGCAATATTTGTGAGAGGTATCTCGGTGACGCGAGCACGATTGCGAAAAACTGTTGAAGCAGACCCAACCATACTTTTTGAAGCAAAAGGAACTGTGTATTTCTTAGTTTCTACTAGAAGCGAAAGTCGGGCTAGTTGTCTATTGATGCTGGGGATTTACAGACAGCGCGAAAATCGAGACGAGGACTGAAAAAGAGACGTGAGTGACCTGTCGTTTCTTTTTCAGTACTTGTCTTTTTTCCTTGTGGTGTTTTTACTTCTTAAGTTTTGGTTTATTTTAAAACTGTACTTGACTCTGAAAAAAAGAAGAAGAAATACACACCGCATATACATCTCATTTTTCATCCTTGTTTTACTGCTCTTAAAAGAGCACTGAAACACGCGTAAAAACTGTGTAATATAATTAGCATGCATGCATAAGAAGAAAAACAAAAAAACACACAAATAGATTAAATGCAAAAACATATGTATCACGATATCGCTGGTAGTCACGAGTTGATAAGCGTCCATTTATTGTTTTTGTTATTTTGTAACATTGGCCAAATGGATTTTGAAAAAAGAAAAAGAATCATGTCAGTATATCCTGTTCGATAAGCCAAAAGCGGTCATCTCTGTTTCAATACTGACAAGAGTGGAAACTTGGGCTAGTCGGTGCGTAGTCATATTTGCAAGATGTTTCAGCGCGCGAACAAAGGAAAAAGGACAGGGTAGACAGAAAGAGCGCTGACTTCCAACTGAGTTGGAAGTCAGCGCTCTTTCTGTCTACCCTGTCCTTTTTCCTTTGTTCGCGCGCTGAAACATCTTTCAATACTGACGTGTCATTTGTCAAGTTTATGTGCATATTTAAGGCTATTTTGGTGCAAAACTATTGCTGTTGTAAGCCTACGCTCCTGTGTGTTGCGTATTTTTCGTCTATGGTCTATGTCACGCTGTGCCTTGCTATTATAAATTTGATCATAAGGGCATGGTCGTGATGGCTGGCGCGCACGCTATTCCTGGATGATTTAGGGAACAGTTCCTATACCGTCTCAAGTACTGTGCACTCAACAGACCGGACAAAAACCGTGCCCTTCTTTACCTAGAGCAGCCTTGTTTGCCTTTCACAAGCGGTCTAAAGAACTACGTGAGGCTGGATCCAAACGAGCCAGCTGCCAGCCTTACCTAATCTGACATTACTATTTGTTGCTGTTCGATCCACTGTTCCGTTGATCATCCTGAACGTGATCATTCTCTGAACATTTTCATTGATGGCTAAGTTCCCATTTCATCATATGCCAGCTATATACTTAAGAGCGCCATCGCATTCAGTAGGTAAACTTCAAAAAAAGCTCTACAAAAGATGTCTGAAGCACGCTCCAGTTCTCTCCTTTCAAGCGAGTATCAAAATGTACACACAGATATGGGAGCAGCGCAATGGTTCTTCAGTTGGCAGGAATGGCGATTCGTTCGTGTCCCGTGCTACATGTATTCCTGCAGCTGTGTCAAAAAGTGACATGGTCGTTTCATGCCGCAGTACATTTTACAATGTAACTTCTATGCTTTTCGTTGTGGTGCGATGTATACTCAAACACTGTCATCATGGACCGACCCCTGCTTGCTTGCTTGTTTGTTACTTCATGCTTTGGCTTGTGCCCACCACAGGGGATTGGCCATCAAACCAGTGGTTATTGTAATATGGAAAAACAAGTTTCAAACTTTGATGAAGAAAAAATAATTATTTAGTCACCTAGGGATTTTAAGAGGGGATAATCATAAGGTGACTTACGAATGAAGCACGTAAATACTTAATAACAGAAATAAATAAATGGCTGGTAATTTCAAGGAACTAGACTTTAATTAGTTAAAAAAAGAAAATCTAACAAGCAAACATTCTTGTGTCTCTGACAAATTCCCTAACTGCTACGTAGATGCTCCTGTTGCTGTGACCCAGAGAAGAAACCCCAAGGGAAAGGGCATATTCAGAATTAAGGTTAATGTTTAATTTTCTGAATATAGTTTATAAATGTTTCTCCCTGTGGCTTCTTAAACGTCAGGAAATAAGTAAAAGAATGATTGATGTTTTCTGGCTCTTGACAGTTCGTTGACCTGCTCTTCCTTCTCGCCTTCTTCATCTTCCCTCTCAGAACACGTGAGCTACGTTGAATTACCCTGATGAGTGCGAGAGCGAGTACAAAAACAGACAAAGAAAGCGATGTAACGAAGTGAGAAAGAGGTGCAAGGCGAGAAAACGAGCACCAAGAGAGAGGGATAAAAAATAGATAGAGAAAAAGAAGAATAGAAAGGATGTAGACAGAGAAAAAGTAAGAAAGAGAAAGGAACAGACAGAGAGCAGGATAAATGAAAAGAATCAGACACAAAACAGACGTAGAAAAAGAGAGCAAACATAGTCATGTGCAGCATAGTATAGTGAGCGGTAAAAACGAAAATAAGGGTGAGCGAGAGTGAAAGAAGTAGGAAAAGGTGGATGGCAACGTCAACCACTCCGTCTGCTTCACGAGTCTTCGTGCCACTTGTGCGCACGTGCTAGTTTTTAATTTCATTTTCCACAATAGGAAGAACAAGTCCTTTCGAGTACTTATGCGGACCTTTTGATAGTGGCTAGCGAAACGAAAATTTAACAGCAAAACCACAGAAAACATATACTTGATTTGCTAAATAGCACCCCGTCACGGACAACACTGACAGGTAATGTGTTGTAGCAATGCGACGGGAAAACCCACACTTTTTATCATGATTACAGGTAAAAGAAAAAGGAACTTACTGCAAAAATTGTTTGACGGCTTCCTTGCTACATTTGGACCATTCGTAATGTCGCTTCCCGCCCGCATGCCTCTCCATTATGTATCCTCCTGAACAAGTTTCGGAGCCCTTTTCGCCGTCGTGATTGCAACCCAATCTGCAAGAGCGTGGGGCAACATGAATGCTAACAGATACGTAATCGTTGCAGGTTATGTGAGCAAGAGCTTCACAATGCGCGTACTTTGTACTCAAACAGAAAAAACGTAAGTGTATGCCCTCCAATGAAGTCAACTATTATAAACTAAGCTTTGTTACCTTAATACTGATGTGCAAAAAAAAAAAACTTTTTATTATCACTAGTAGTCACACTATATTCCAAGTAGGGCACTCCGCTGTGGGCGTGCAGAGCTTCAGCTTCCAGTTCACACGACAGTAGCGATGGTCTTGAACGTTTCCTAATGCGTACATATGCTAAACTTCTTTCTTGAGGTAACTTTCTGGAGGTGGCAAACATGAGGGGGTGTGTAATAAATATTCACACATGCCTCTCGTGTGTGACACATGCCTCTCACGTGTGACATGGAGTAGCCGGTGAAAGCGAAAAGTCGAGTTTAATACACTGTGAATTGTGGAACAGAGTAAAATCGCTCCTGAATAATGGCGAAACTGCATCCTTGCTTAGGCCATGCTATGCGCTCAATCCACAGGTGTGACAGCTCAAATGTTGTTCTTTTTTTTGCTGCCATAAATGATTTTATTTCGTCCAGTTTTCACATCGAATAGCCGGATTTTGTAAGTTCAATAAAATTATGAATGATAATCAGAAATTTTCTCTTGTAAAACAAATACAAAGAAATACGAAATTGGTGTATACGCTTATTTGAACTGTGAACGTTGAAGCGAAAGCGCGTGTTGAAGACGGTCACAATAATAGACACGAGAAAAACGATTATTGTGCGTGTTCGCGTGTTCGTGTTCAGCTAGCGCAGTTCCGTCATTGTTAACGTCAACAATCACAGACTTAGTCGGTTAGTACGGGATGCTATATGTTCGTTTCAATATTAAAGGTATGACCTCTACGATGTGAACTTAATCAAGGAAAAGTGGCTGTACAACATAACAAAAAAAAAACTTCTCTCTGTGCAATTAAGCTCTATTTTCGTCTGTGTGATTCTTGGCAAGCATCGCTTGTTGTATATGGTGTTTGTCTTTGCCAGGGACCGAGGATAATGACGAAGCATTCAATTCGACGGTTGGCTGCCCTGATTAAGACGTGTGTCCAAATTTTGTCATTACTTCTTTCGTGATTCCTCACCAATACGGAGCCTGAATGATGCCAGAGATTCAAAATCCTCAAGCTGCCATGGTTTGCAACAAGTGCTACAAAATGTTGGTCACGGAGTTTGAGCGTGCCTGCACAATACCGGAAAGGGGCATTTGGTCGTAGCTATGCAATACAATCGCAAAAGCGTATTTGCACATGCATACTCACAGGTGTCCTATTTCATGCGGAGCGGTATGTAATCCGGAATAAGTTCCCGGTTGGTCCCTGCCAATCGCAACTTTTTTTTTCCCGCATGCGCCTCCTATTGCCGCCAATCCTGCATGAGTAAAGCATGTGTCTAGTTGAATGTTTGCCACAGCTGTACATGCGTGAGCAGTACGAGGCGCGCACATCGACGTTTTTTTAAAATAGTGCCCATTACGATGAAGTCCTCTGAAACGCTGAAGAGGTAATAGTTGAATAGGAAATAATAGACGAAATGCAATCATTCGTCGTTCGTATGTGCCACCCTGCACGTCAAAAAATACATGTTACGGACACCAAAATTCGTTCAATTTCACTAAATACCACATCTTTCTGGTTAGATTCACAAAAGCCAACAAATACTATCAAACGATGTTACTAGCTTAGAGTGAGAGACTGAAAGGATCCTGAAATATGAAATGCTTATGAGCTGAAAAGTAATATAGAAAGTCAATCCAACAATCTCCGTGAGTGAATGATGATTAGTGGGTGAAGGATCAATGGACTATATCAACGATACTATATACACCTTATGAGATGTTAAGTGAAGTAAATCTCCATTCCGATCAATCTAAAGAGCGATCAGCTCAGTGTGCATGTTGTGTACGTCTTTCATTTACTCGCAACTCTTCAATCGCAATGAAAATATAACAGCCCCCTGAGTACGGCGCTCTTTCACACCTGTACCCATAATATTTGTTTCACACATTGCACTAAACTTGAGCCGCCCATTCTCTCCCCCCTCCCATCTACACATACACATCCGCCTTCTATCGAAACCTCCACATCAAATTAACACGTTACACCTCGAAGGACTTGACAAAGTTTCATCCTCTAAGGCCTCATAAGGACCAATTCGATGACGACAACGCCATCGACAGTATATATATGTGCACACTACAGGAAAAACCCTTTAGTAACCTAGCCAAGTTGATGAGAATGCAGGTTAACATAGATGTGGGGAGAGCGTCTGAAGTCCATGCCGGCATACCTAAAACGCTTGAATTGGTGTACTTTGAATTGTCTCCACGCTTTATAGATTTCCTGAAAATAAGAGATAAAAAGCACATTAAACCAGGAATATATATCCTATATCTGGAATTCTTGTTAGACTTTTCGTTTCAATCAAGTTTGAGGGCTCGCCACGGAAAGTTATTGAGCGATAGTGCTTGCAAAGTTTAAGTGCCACAATCCCCGGGAAACAAACTTTGCTTTGTGGCCAACTTCAATGTCATAACAGATGATAGCCAATAGTCCATGCGTCCCCGACGATCTTCAGGATAATGAGAATTAAAGCTGTGCGCATTTCAAAACATCTACTGATTTTGCCGAAGTGTTAATGAACATCAGGTAATGCAGCCCACTCACACACTCTCTTACTTAGGATCACCATCATGAGACAGCCTTAGCCAGCGCTGAAAGCCTGTGGGTGAACATGGCAGCTGAACTTCTTATGGGTTATCACATGATACTCCTTTACATTCCGTTGACAAAATAGTTAGGACAACACGGGAGGTCAAACTCGTCTCTGGGGATTTCTTAGAACAACAATAGTGCCCCGAGAAGGCAGTGAAGACCACAGGGTTCCTGCAATGAGAAAGCCTCCTACCTAGATCTGATCCAGGTTCGTCTCAGTATAGTGTTTCAAAAGTATGGTGTTCTAAAGTAATTGTTTATTTGTCATCATCAAAAGCAAAAAAAAAAACAGCTTATTTTTCGAAGTTGGGTCATCACAGTCTGAAGCGTTACACTATGCTTCAGAAGTGAGACGTCATGGATACTAACTGCATACTGTTAAGTCTTGCTAATTAGCACGCAATAAGAGGTTTAGTTTGCGACCTCCTTGGCCTGATTTGTCTGTGCTTGCGTGCACATAGTAGGGTGCACTTTGAAAGCCTACATGAAAAATTATATCTAGAATCGTATAGCAGGGTTGCCTAAGTGATGCACATGCAAGATTAACTTTTACAGCGATGTCTGTGCGAGATCACAAGAGTCGATTTTGGCACCACAAAGGCACCGCCACCACTGCCGGTACCCGCAACTGCTTTAGCGCAAAAGAAAAAATGACAAAGAAAAACACACACAAGAAAGAATGGGATTCGAATCCAGGATCCCGGCGCGGCTGCCTAGTATTCCACCCAAAGACCTTGATTCTAGCACAGAACCATCCATTGTTTAAAATGTTTTGCTTTATTGGCTGTTTACTCATAGAGCTACCCCTTTCTTTCTCTTCATTACCTGTATTTCTCTACAGGTGCTCACACAGAAACATTATCCAAGTGTATTTCACCGTTGCGCAATGAGAATCACATTAATCAAGCAATGACGTCACGATGTGTAACGGAGTGTTTTAAGGCGAAAGCATTTAGTGCTTTGTGCTCACTTCCACCCATCCACCTTTCCGTCTGTCTTTCCATGCGTACATTCCCTGGTACGGTTAGGCACTGTGGCGTGGCACGCCAATGTATGCCGGTCAGGTCTTACTCTAGAATGCTCAAGCTGAGCTCGTGTAGAGTTGCTGTGCCTAGCGTGTCCAGTCATGCAAAAGTAGAGACGCATGCATCGCGTTTCATTTTCACCAACCCTGTCTCAATGGGTACAGGTGTTCGCTGCACATACTTCGAAACATACAAAGTCTGCAAGTTTTAGGGGCGAGGCTCTTCACACTAGAGGCTTGTCTCCCGTCTCACTGTTGTAGCAACGCTATAGTATACTCGGCGCTCTTGAGGTGGAGCTGTGCTCGCGGTTGATTCGAATGACGCCCTTTAGATGGCGCGGCTGCGAGCGTAAGGTCCCTAGATGAAACAACCTGTTTCATCTATAGGGACCTTACGCTCCACTAAAGTCCTTACGCTCCACTCTCAGCGCGTGCAGTAGTTTGGCAAGAAACCACTAGAGGGCCACGCCTATATATAGCACTCACTCTTCACGCTTGCTTTACCTTTCGCCAGTAGTGACTCAGTGTGCTTCGATACTGGTACCCTGCTACTATGAACTGAGAAGAAGACAAGGCGGTGGTGGAGTGGAGGGCTGACAAAGAGGCGTTAGCATGGGCTCACCGCTAAGACCCTTAGGCGAGAGTTCGCGAAACGGAAGTGGCGCGGTCTCATTGAAAAGTGGACGCGGAGTTGAGGGCTCGAAGGGCGGTTTGAAGAAAATCCTCCCTGAGAACAACCCCTTTTTGTAGTGCGTAGAGCTGTTGAAAAGACCATCATCTACCCTATACGTAAATAATGAGACATTCTGTATATGCTATAATAATATGGAAACAATAAAACGTTCTCTATGTACCGTTTATATATACATACTTCACCACTGCGTTTCTGTGCCCCGTATTTGTATAATAATCGTATGGGCGAAATTAAATGAGCATTCATGGTTTATCAGCTTGACTCCAGAGCTTGGCCCACTTCGGGAATACGCGGGGATTTTTTGAGAACAGTAATCTAATAGCCACCCAATGAGAATTGCCCAACGAGTCGGTCATTGAATACCTCCGACGCACTACAAGCGGCTCACACGTATTGTTTCATCGTCGTCAGCCACAGCATTGATAAAGTGCACGTAATGTCTTTCAGGTGTATAACGGGTACCACGCTCTTGCGAATAATGACGTATATAAGAGAATCACTTCACGAAAGTTATGATGAGTTATAAAGCAGTGAGTAGCACGTCTGTAGTTTTCCCGAGAGCGTTTAGAAAGGCTATATAATGTCCACTCTTTCGGCTTTTACTGTGACTGCAGTTGCGTGTTCCACACATGGCCCGGTGGCTTTTTGTATATCCCAACACGGCACATTTTCTCTACTGTATTAGAGTAATGTAAAAAAAAAGTTATTGTAAGCAAATGGTCCTCTCTGTTGGTGTTTGCACTGTTTTCACTTCCTTGGTTTTAGTAATGCGATGTCACAAAGTAATGCGATGTCACTTTGTGACAAAAAATAAAAACAAGAAACGAAAAAACACATGATGCATTAGTTGAGATATTAACTGAAGAAGGGTTAATTTTTGGGTCCCGTTCTATATAATTATTTTATTTTTCGCTGCAGAACTTTGTGATATGGAGTAGCCGAGGCAATAGGCACCTCAACCTCTCCACAGCAAAACAGTTAAAACAGAACAGAACAGGAATTGTATGAGCGTACCATAGATGCCGATTATATTATGACTATCTTTAAGATAGTAATATTAATGTCATAATCACGGATGCAACGTGTCTTGTTTGAAGTTGTTAAGATAACAAAATGCTACATACTGTGTGACCAGGTATACTATATCTGCTGCTTCTATTTTGCGCAGTGGGTTATTCGATATTTTTGTCAACGTTGGTGAGCCGAGAACAGCACCATCACTGGAGAGACTGAGAAAAAGCTTTTCTTCAGCCTGTAAAGATACGCAGCGTAAAGCACTGAAGCAAATATTGAGAAACTTCAAACAGGGCTCGACACAACTCATGTTTACGAATTTTTCGAAAGAAATAATAGTGACATAATACATACAGCTGTGAAACATTTATAAATTGCGGTTAACGCTATACGACCAGGTGGATCGAGCCGCTGAAACCGAAGGCCAATCTGCAAGACAAACGTTGAGCAGCAGATTAAAGGGTATCAGTTGCTACCGCTAGTTTGCAAAAACTGCTTCGATTGCAATAGCGAAGAAATCCATCTCCCATTATTTTGTCTCACAATTCCACAAAACTAAGCAAACGTTCGTTTTCAGAAAATTTGTTTCAAAATGTTTGTAACTTTGGTATACTAATGAAATGAAGCAATCATCTCACTACCTTCAGTTGTCCTAGTTTTTCAGAAAAAATGATAACACAAGATGACGCGATTGAAGACGTTAAAGGGAAATAGTACCTTCCGGCTCCTCCTATTGGGGCCATACATCTACGAACGCGAGTTACTTTTCTTGTAAAACTTATTTCCTACGAAGCAAAATGTCGTTGTTTTTTAGCGACAGGAGTAGTTCTGAATCCAGCGCTAAATGCAGCCCCGCTATACTGCGAAACTTGAAGAAGTGAGCAGCAAGCGCACCCAGCGATTCCAGTTTAGCGAGATGTGAAAGGCATAACCACAACTCAAAGGGTCCATGACACAATCACCCATTGAATTGCGGCTTTCTGCGAAATGTAGAATTAGATGATACATTGTGCCTGTTAATATAAAAAATGGGCCGTAATTTTATAGCGAAATCAGCCCTAAGAGTTGCCGACAATAAACTCGCCTACTGTCGGTGACCACCCTTTTGTCATAGTGTGTGACAACACGGGCTTCATTCAGTCGTGCTGTCATCTTCTACCTAATTTTCAACCAGTGCAGATCATGCAATTATCAATGTCGGACTCACGCAAGTTCCAACAGCTCAATTGTACGCACAACTGATCACAAAACAAAATCATCGGCCGGAACAAACACATCCAATTCAATTGGCTGGTCACTTCACGGCTTGTGAATGCACCAGTGTTGTCAGACTTTCGGGTCTCTTGCGTGTTTATAAAAATGATCATTATAAGATAAGTTCTCAATCGAATGCGCTGTAGTTTCACTAGCCTGATAGTGAACACACAAGTATGAAACTACAACCCAGAATATAAGCGATAACTGGGATGTCATGGCTGCTTTGAGAGCTCGAAACATAGCGTAGTTCTTTCAGAGAGCGCCAAGTATAGCCCATGCCCGGACAAAATTCCCCTTAACGTTAAGCAGTCTTCATCATTAGCTATTTTTCAAAACACATTATTTACTTTTCTGCTGGATACCATAGAATTCTAAGTTGTGTAATATTATCTACACCTGTTCATATTCATGCACTCTTAATGGTGCCACAGCCACTCATCTTTTTCTTGCTTTTTTCGTTCCTCTGTTCGTTTCGTCAATATTATTTGGGTTTTTCTTTTAATTTTTATATGCTATATGCAGTGTTTTGTTGTACTTATGATTGTTAAAATTTGTTTTTTAGTCTGTATTTCATTTATTTGTATAACTTATTCTACGTTGCTGCATTTTACTTGAGCATATTTATCACATTTTCTGACAGGAGGTCCCCCTTCAGCCAAGTGCTCTGGGACCTCCTTTTGTATGTTTATGTAAGCATGTATGTTTTGTACGAAAGTCAAAATAAACTTAAATTGAACTGATGTGTGAAATGCCACTTGGGTCACGCCTGTAGGCGCTTGGGTCACGCCTGTAGGCGTACTCCCTCAGAGATAGGAAAAATTGCAACCTGTGGCACAGCACGACCCCACTTTACAGTGGCGTTCACGATTGCAGAGTGCCGAAAAAAATGCCTAAAGCTGAAGAACCATGGCCCCGAAAGGCAACAAAGTTTCAGGAACCCCCGCTAATCTAGCGTAACGAGCAACGTAAACAAAAAAAAAACTATTAGGTATTTCACTTTGCAGCGTTATATACAAAAAAGGAAAATAAAACTCCCTAACAAACAACTTTTACTGTTTCGCAAATTTATGCCGTCACATTTACGAGCAAATTTCGTGAAGTTAACCGTCGAAAGCTTGAAGGGCCAGTAAACAACCTTGCGGTCCGAAAATTCAGATCGAGAGAAACATTCTTACGATGTGAACGTGTTGTTGCAAGAAATTTTGAAAGGAGTGATGCAGTAAAGAAGTCATTGAACACCACACCTCGGCCGGTTTCGAGTTCTCACTGAGCCTTCCCAATCTTCACAGCAGAGAAGATCGGTATGCGTAGCCACTTGTGTGATGACGCCTATTTTGGCAACGAAACACGACGTGAGCGATCGTGTGGTTGGCACGCCGCTAACGATTGACCAAGGCTAATTCCACCCTTTCCGCCCATTCCACTGGTGTCACAGCGGCACGTGAAGAATACGAAAATCATGGATAATCCCTCCCTTGTAAGAATTGGTAAAACACGAAAGTAAAACTTGTCGTGAAAGAAAGTTTCTTGTTTAACCTACAATGATACGAGAGAGCTTGCGCAATTTCTATTAATATTTGACAGCTATAGTAGTGGTAGTAGTAGTAGTAATAGTCTTTTATTCAGCCACAATTTACAGGCCGAGCATTTCGACTGCTTGTGCGACCAGTCAACGCTGTTCTTCTTCCCCTTCGGCGCCGATCCAGTCGAGACAGGAGGTGATGGAAAGGGATGGGGGAGGGTAATAGCTGGATTGCTGAGCAGTTGGGCAGTAAAACAGGCAGTGTGACAGGTTGGCATATGGGGAGGGGCAATTAGGACAGCAGGGGTTAGACCTATATTTATAAAAGAAAAGTCGAGAGGGGGTTATCAGGCAGTTCATTTGGACGTGTCGTAGAGTTAGAGCCTCGAGTGTGTGAGTGATGGATGAGGGGGAGGGTAAAGACGCTTGTCGAGCCGGAGCTGGAGATATACCTCCTTGATAGTGTGACGCAAAGAGATCTGCCCATCGTTATTCGCGGAGCTCTCACTGTTTTCCGAAGGTGGGGGCCAGGGTGACAGCTATAACGCCACTCATAACATAGATGCATCCACGTCGACACTTAGTGATACATCTCCGTTACAACGACTAACATCCACCGTTAATTTTTACGCAAACCCTCGTGGTCATATATGCTTGTGGTAGCTGTAGTAGTTAACAGTGAGATCGGATCCAGAGTAAGCAATGGGACAGCCAGAAGAGTGCAACTAATTGGACGCCGACTTTGGGTAAAGACAACGCCCCCAAGAGAGATTGCCTGCTTGGGGCATAATGAATGTATTGAACCGCCCGACCAGAGGGAAACGCAAGGCGCATAGTGTCTTCTAGATTTTTTTGGGGGGCCAGCCTTAGTGGGGAACGTGGAGTTAAAGCCATGCGAAGCCGCTGGGTGTCGCAGTCTCGCAGAGCTATTTGGTGTGGATGGTGTCTAGAAATATTTTGGCAGTATATTTCTAGGCACTAAACTATTAGCGACGCCAATCCTTTATACGAGGCTTGAACTAAGGTTGCCGCCTGGGGGTGTGTTAACGCGTCGACATGGTAACACTTAAGAACGATCGTTGAAAGAACTAATCACGAATGCAATGGTCGTAATGCATTACCGCACTTTACCAAGCACGCTGTGAGAGCCCAATGGTAGATTTAAAAGGCGTATTTTTCAAAGCCTATAGAATGATTGAGGGCGTAGCGTAGTAGATATCTATAAAGTGTCCGGCATGTACTGCCGCGGACCTAGAGGTCGTAGCTTCGAGTCTTGTTGGCAACACTTTTTTGTCTTCTGATCGTGTGTATTTATTCGACGTCATTTCGTGACGGAAATACGTCACCTAAGTCTCGGCGGACCCTGGCGTAAAACACGTGTTAAAATAATATCCGGGGTTTTAAGTCTCGAAACCACAATAGATGCTGTAGTGGAGATCTCCGGAAATTTCGACCATCTTGTGTTCTTTAACGGGCAGTGACATCACAGAGAACACGGGCCTCCACCATATTGCGTTCATCGGGATGCCACCATCGAGGCCGTAATCGAATCCACGACCGTTGGGCCAGCAGTCGAGCCCGAGCACTGGAGCCACTGTTCTGCCGAGGCGGCCAGGCACGGCGACAAAGTACGATGCTAGGGTTACGAGGAGCTGGCGAGGTAAGTACTCTACTTCTCGCGGAAAAGAGACTTTCGTTATCGCAATACTGGTTGTCCCGGTAGTTTCGGAGTTCAACCACGACAGCAGAGGGTGCAAAGGAAAGGCAGATTGTGAAGTAAAGCTGACGAAAACGGCCACTACTGCTTCGCAACCTTCCTGCTTCGCAACCGTCCTGTAGGATAAAGGACCAAGTGAAGAAGTGGGTGCTGGGTAATGTTACCCATGAGCGAGATTACGTCGTTTCGCGTACAAGTAAGGTTGGACAGTTGTTAGAGAGGGGCACGGGAAATGTTTCTCGAAATGAAGCCACTGCGTTGTGTGCACTGATGCGATATACGCGAAATGTGATCGCGTGGCCGTCCGCATGAATTAACGACCTTTTTGTAAGATCTAAAAAAGAAGCCTGAGCCTGTTTACCTGAAGTTGACAGTTATTATATATCAATAGTATATCGGATAAAGTTATTTTTAGCTACACTGGAAGAATTTCATCATTCATATTATATTACGCTCTCTTTTAGTACTTGATTATTTGAGAAAGCGGGTTTTTTACCATAGGTAAACAGACTAGCCGATACTTGCCCCAAGCATCAGCACTGATACATAACTAATACGGTCCTTGTCATTATTAAAATATTTAGTGTGGTTGAGGTCACTGATGAACACCGTCTCGATAGTGAAATTTTGTGGCAGTTCCAGTTTGGTCTCTAAGAAAAAAAAAAGAAAAACAAACTTGTTCTAAATAATAAAAACACGATAAAACAATGAAAGTAGGAACTGCATTGGCGCACCTTTATCACGCTTCGTATGTCGACTGAAGCTTGCGGGTCCTAGAAGAAATTGCGAAAAAGTATTTTATTAGTGAAAACATTCTTTTCATATCGTTTCGCAAAAAAAAAAAAGGCAGAACCCACGTACAGTGGGACTCTAGGATATGTGAAGCACGAATGATAAATGTTGAGTTGTCACTTTAAAATCAGCACTACGTTACGAGGTGGAAGTAAATGATGCCTACATGACTTCTGTGTCATGATTATCATGTTTGGATGTGCCATTCACCTTCGTCATCTATTCACGTCATGTGAGACCAAATTTAGTATATGTGGAGCTAGCGAAACAGCATCTAGCACGCTATAAGCGTGGTATGTTGTCATGTTCTTACACGACACGCGTGTCAGGATTATCATGTTTGCAACAGGCATATATTTCATTATCAATTGACGTCGAAATGTATTGCCGCCTTGATTGTGGCATGTATTCATGTTCTCACATGACACGCATCTCGTGATTATCATGTTTACACCAGTCACATACCTTCGTCATCCATTGGTGTCCCGTGATACCAAATTTGGCATGTGTGTTTCTAGTGATACGGCCACAAGCGCATCATCAGTGTGGCATGTAGTCATGTTGTTACATGACACCCATGTCATGATTGTCATGCTTGGATGCGTCATTTACCTATGTCGTCTGTTCACATCGCGTAATACCGAGTTTGGTACATGGGAAGCTAGCGAAACGGCCGCGGGTGCATCATGAGCGTAGCATGTAGTCCTGCTGTTACATGACACGCATCTCATGTTTATGATGTTTGCACCAGTATAATACGTTCGACATCCATTCACGACCCGTAATACAATATTTGGCATAAGTAAAGCTAGCGAAACGGCCACCAGCGCATCATGAGCGCTACATGTTGTTACATGACACGCATCTCATGATTATCGTGTTTGCACCAGTCACATACCTTCGTCATGCATTCTCATACTGTAATAGCAAATTTGGTATATGTGACGCCAGCGAAATGGCCGCGAGCGCATAATGATAATGGCATGTAGTCATGTTGTTACACGACATGCATGTCATGATTTTCATGTTGGGTCTGTCGCTTGTGTTTGTCATGCGATAATTCCATACCATACCAGTTTGGAATTTGCCATGTGAACGAAACCACCGCAAGAACTGCGGGACCATGAAATGTAAATTATGACATTTATGACATACATGTCATGATTTTCATGCTATGACTAGTCAAATATGTTCTTCATACAGACATGTTATGTCATACCATGTTAGGTATCGATACCATTACCAAAACGGCCAGGAGATCTAAAAGTCGTAGGCGGCTAGATAGCTAGCTAGCTAGCTAGCTAGCTAGATAGATAGATGAGATAGATAGATGAGTTCAAAGCCGCCAAATTTTGCTAAGAAATACTTCGCATTTAAAGAAATACTAAATGGTTACGACATTAGTTGTTTTTTAAGAGCAGTACTTGAACTATTTGCACGCATTTGAACCTCATCGCTAATTAACTGATATGTAAGGTTCAACATGCAAAAACCACCGTATAATTCGGAGGACGCCGTAGGGGAAGGCTCGGCAAATTTTTACCACTGGGGCTTCTTAAACGTGCATCCAAATTTGAGCACACGGGCCTACAGCATTTTCGCTTCCGTCGGAAATGCAGCCACCGCAGCCGCGATTCGATCATGTCACCTGCGGGTCAGCAGCCGAGTGCCTTAGTCACTGGACCACCACGGCCAGGTAGATTTGGACCATATCGGATTTCGCACTTGCGCAGCACTACAACCAAAGTTTCAATTGTGCAACTCAGCGAAAATTTTCTGCAAGTACCCAATGCATAATTAGTTGAAACTCATCGCTTCATGGCAACTGTCTCTTCATATTTAAATCAATATGCCAAAATTGGTGAAATGTTACTGAGCACAATCGTCAATAGACCCATACGTCCATTTAAGTATAGTAACACTCCAAGAACCACGTGCTTCTCTACTATACAGACTCTGGAGGAAAAGCTGCCCTTAGGGCCCATGCATTAAAGCCTATAACCACTAGTGCGCCGCCATGATAGAACGATACTCAGCTTTCGGGTGATGTACGCTCGCACAGGCCACTGCATGCGGCAATATCTTCCGACATTCTTTTCTGTTTCGATTACCTCTGTTGCATCGCAGTAAAACACTGTCACATAAAGTTGAGTTGTTGGCTCATGGCAACAAAAAACACGGTCGACGAGGCGCAAACAAGCTGGTGGAATCGGCCGCACGTCGCACCACCCCGCTCACGAAAGTTGATTGATTTGATTTGATTGATTTGTGGGGTTTAACGTCCCAAAACCACCATTTGATTATGAGAGACGCCGTAGTGGAGGGCTCCGGAAATTTTGACCACCTGGGGTTCTTTAACGTGCACCCAAATCTGAGTACACGGGCCTACAACATTTCCGCCTCCATCGGAAATGCAGCCGCCGCAGCCGGGAATCGAACCCGCGACCTGCGGGTCAGCAGCCGAGTACCTTAGCCACTAGACCACCGCGGCGGGGCGCCGCTCCCGAAAGTTGATATGATACAAAGATTGTGGTGACATCTGGTAAATAAAACTGCAAACGCTTTCTTCCACGTGCAGCAAACTACATAAACAACTATTGCATCTTTCTTAAAAGTAGTTGATATAAACGTCACACAATTTCGTTTTTTTTATAATACGTGGACGCAGTTGTTTATGATTTATACTGCGACAATTTGAGTGCTTTCAAGAGATATCTTTAGCACTTGTTTCATGTATTTTGATGGCAACGATGACAACGTGCCAGTATATCAGCGCTTTGGTGGTTATCGTTTCGAGCCCAGCTTTTCCTCTATAGAGCTTGTACATTAATTCTAAGAAGCCCAATCTCCGAGCACACGAGCGGCGTCGTTTTGTTGACTAGCGTTTCTTCGTGGTTTACTGCCTGTTTCTGTGGGATGGTTTGGAAACGCTGACTTACATGCGGTAAAATAGACGACAATAATGAGGGCTCGACCGTGCAAGACCATTATTATCTTTTCCAGGAGAGGCGTCTGCTTTATGCGTTAACCGCAGGGACACGAACACATGCGAAACACATGCACATTAGCTCCGCATTGCGTTGACATGAAAGGGGGAAAATAGAAAAGACGCGCACATTGCCTTATTGGGTCTGATTGCTGACCTCAAGTTTTATTAATCGATTCGAGCAACAATTTAAACAAACTACACATGTCATGTTGAATAATTTTCACCATGTCATGCGCTACTGTTGGCTACGTCAGAGCACAGCCGTCTACGTAGAAGGCCAACGTCACAGCACTTGTGTGTACGTAGAGCACTTCCTACCTGTACGTCATGCCCTCGATTGGCGCGTGCCCGAGAAAGGAAGGGAAATCAGTGTTCATGTTGAAATTTCATCCGTTTCCGCGGTTCGTAGCATTGCAAATTTTGGCAGACATGATCGTAAACACCCCATGTACGCATTGCGCTTGCCAGCTAATAAGTGTCAAACCTGTCGAGTGGTCCTTCAAGTGAGCCGCATCACTTTTGAAGACCCCCTTTTTAGCATGGTTTGGCTAGGCAAACTACAATTGTTAGAGATCACTTAAGCATAAGTATCATTATCGAAAAATTTGTTTTCTTACGCAGTACACTCCCTACATCAAAGCCTACGTCATCAGCGTGTGGTTGTGCTGGCTAGACGCATTACGAGTGGAAATGACGGCTATGTTCTAAAGCGTATGATTGAACGAGTGTAACATTCGAAGCGGTCATGGCTAGCATCAAGTTTAGGATTAATGTCGGGTTTAGTTGTTTCTGGGCTTTTTCAAAATTTTAAATACACCAATTCCAAAGAAACAGATCACGGCAACCACAACGTTCGACAGAGACACTAACTGGCATTTTGCTTTTGATTTTATTGATTGCGCAGATTGGATTTACTAGGCTCCTTTCCCGCCCTTTTGCGCCACCTATGCGCTCGTGAGCTGTCTTTTTCAAAACATTGGGTAGGCTCTTGATTGCTTATGAATCAGTGCAAGCAATCCCCGTTCGTCGACTTTGTTGTTGAGTCGTCATAGGAAATTCCGTGTGTGTATTTTACGTGTAAGCACTGAAACCAGACACGGTATCGCCATCTATGGTACAATCGTGGTCACACCTGTTTTTTTTCTTTCGTTTGTTGAAGTTGTCTCACGTAAATACAAGCATGTGTCCTTTCCTTGTATCTTGGCCCACCGTGGTGGTCTAGCGACTGAGGTACTCAGCTGCTGACCTGCTGGTCACGGGTTCGAATACCGGCTGCAGCGGCTGCATTTTTGATGGATGCGGAAATGTTGTAGACCCGTGTGCTCAGATTCGGGTACAGGTTAAAGAACTCCAGGTGGTCGAAATTTCTGGACTAAGGCATCTCTCATATTCATATGGTGGTTTTTGGGACGTTAAACCTCACAAATAAATCAAATCAATTAATCCTTGTATCTTATTTTGACGTTATCGGCCATGCGTAAAAATTAATGTTAAAGAAAGACGACCTCCCAAAAGATTGCTTTAACAAAAATGGGAAAATTCCAAAAGACTTACTAGATATGACAACGTCGTCGTGTGTATCTTTCCATACTCCAAGCTTCGATAACTTGTGCGCTGTCCGTCCAGAGAATGACCTCTCCACGGTTAAGATAGGTTCAATGAAATGAGTGGAATTTACGATTCCCTTCTGCACACACACGCACACAAAAAAAACTTACTCACAAATGAATTATGCAGGAAGTAATTGAAAAGGCTTAAGCAGAACGAACAACGGAAGCGTCTTACGCAAGCTGCCCATCATATCGATAGAAGGACCTATCTTTTTCAAAGGCGTCTTGTCATCCTTTGCGTGTTAGCTTCAAGAGGGTTGACAAAGACAGATCTTCCTATCGAAACGTCAGCCAGACAGTGTGAAACACTTCCTCGGTTCGTTCTACTTATCCCATTACGTGTTTACATCCGTCGGTTTCCATCTTAATTTTGTAACTTGGTGTTACTTACTATATGATAATCACCATTCGATTGCGGTTTCAGAACTAATGATGCTAGCTGCTCAGAGTCCTGATAGAGTTCATTCTCGTATGCTTTTCCATCCACCTATGTCACAAGAAGAAAACATCTTTGGTGAGCCTTTGTAAGTACGATAAATATTTGTTATAAAATCGTATAGGGGCGTTAGGCCCCAATAATCTCACTTTCACGAGGAAGCAAAACACAAAAAAACTTCTGCCGACAGCCTGTGAGGCCGTCAGCTTTTGTGAGATTTCAGATTATGTGGAGAAAAAGACGAAGAAGTGTGTTTTGAAAAGGAGCTACTTCTGCTAACTCCGGCGTATTTCAGTTGTAATTTAAGTCTGTTGATCAGTTTTCGCTGCTCCCTTGGAGGGGAATGGGGCAGACCACCCCGGGCGCCTGCCGGCACCAGCGGCGTCAGCGGCGGCCGCCTCCAGGAAGCGGATGGGACAAGCGAGTGACAGCGACAGTGAAGACACTCATGCTTACTATCTCAGCAGTGAGGACTTCTCAGATGACGGTTTCCAACCTGTGCTGAGCCGCAAGGCGAAGAGGAGGAACATGAGGACATCCTCATCCTCAACTATTCAAACTGTAAGTGAAGCGCCAAAATCGAACACTTATACCATCCTGTTTTTGCCTGCACTTCCTGCCGTCAGCATGAAACGCCTTAACAGACAGTCTGTGTCGAAGTCTCTGGAAACGCTCGTGCCAAATGAGATCACGGACATAAGAGTGAACGCCAGAAAGAATATACTGGCTGTGGACGTTTTGCACGCAAGTGCGTTGGGCGTTCTGCGCAGTGTAACTGACTTGGACGGCAACCAGGTGCGCTCTCATGTTCCCTTGGGATGTGATGTAGTAACCGGCGTGATCTACGACATTGATGTCGCTATTTCCAATAAGGACTTACAACTTCTTGTCAAGTCAACAACTGATACTCCAATTGTTGATGTCACCCGGCTAGGCAAGTCTCGCTGTGTGAAGATTGCGTTTAAGAGCACATCACTCCCCTCTCATGTGAAGGTGGGGTACTTCATACATGCTGTGCGGCCTTTCATTCCAAAGCCTCTCCAGTGCCGTAAATGCATGGAACTTGGACATGTGAGCAGCGTCTGCGAGAATTCGGTGGTATGCCACCGCTGCGCCGAGCACCATGAAGCGGATAAGTGCGTCGCAACTGTCAAGAAATGCTCTAATTGCAATGGATCCCATGAAGCCACATCGAAGGACTGCCCGCGGATTCAGAAGGAAATTGCCATTTTGAAGGAGATGGTGCGCGATCACTCATCTCATCGAGAAGCCGCAGCTAAAGTCAGAAGGCGTCGTTCACGTCGACGTCGGTCTTCGAGGACGCCCGCTACCTCCTCGACACGTTTGCGTGATCCCTCATCAGTACCACCTCCTTTGCCTCCCAGACCACATGCCGTGGGAAAGGCTGTAAAGGACAAAGCCAGTCAGCATACCCTAACTGCGACAGAGTGGCCTGCACTTCAAAGGGAAGCAGCATCAAGCGAACCGAAGGAGTTTCATGACGGCCAGTCCGCGATCCCGGTTCGAGATCTTTCCAACCAAGACAGGCAAGTGACTGCAATCGTGCAATCATTAATTGCCACGATTCGCACGCTACTGAGCAGCATACAATCTCCGTCTGCTAAGAGTGCACTGCAAATACTGGGTGCACTGAATCCAGTTCTTGCTAACTTCGTATAAGCACAATGGCTCAACAAAATCTCATCTTCCGCACTGGAGTTAAAAGTGCGTCGATTTTTCAGTGGAATGCCAGAGGCATGAAGTCCCGTATTTCGGACTTTCGCCAATTTGTCCGGGCCAATCAATTCCCTATACTTGTCATATGTGAACCAAACGGATCAACGCCTTATAGATTGTCCGATTATGAAGCTTTTTGTTCAGCCGCTTGCGAAGAACGAAGCAAAGTAATTGTTTACATTCACACAGACTAGACTTATTTTTCGCACCCAATAAGTTCAAATGACGACAATCAGTACGTGTGTCTTCGTGTAAAGAAGAATGCAGTTTCGTTCACGCTTATTGGTGGATATATATCTCCGTCATCGCGATTTGACTGCGACAGATTAAAAGACATCCTAATGAGGACCGATGGGCCTTGGATCATCACCGGTGACTTCAACGCCCATCACATGCTTTGGGGGAGCACTAGGATGAATGCCAGGGGCCGGAACATTGTTACATTCGCTTCCGATTACGACCTTTCCATCATGAACGATGGTACCCCCACATATCTGCGGGGTCTCACGTATGGCAGTTGCCTTGACCTGACATTGGTGTCACGGTGCTTCTCTCACAAAGTTAAATGGTTTTGCGATATTGAGACTCATGGGAGTGATCACATACCCACCTACGTGACGATCGATGGTATCATAAAAAATTTATCTTCCGGTGTTGTAATTGGCACTGACTGGTCGATGTTTACATCGCGTGTTGAGGACGCTTGCCAAGAAGGCCTCGCCTGCAGCCTGGAAAATACCATTGCGGAAGCTATGCAAGCGTCCAAATGTAAATTACTATTTTCGTCTAAAATAACACAGTTTGACATCGAACTGGAAAGATTACGAGCTATACGAAGGCATGCTGAACGACGATACAGACGCACAAGATCAATTTACGATCTGAGGGAAGCAAGGTGGCTCCAGAAAAAGATTCAACGACGCATTTACAAGCTGGAGAGCGAACGCTGGAAAACATTCTGCGAATCTCTAGACCCTGATAAACCGCTGTCATATATCTGGAGAACAGTTCGTGGTCTTCGCTCCTCTCCGCAACAATGGCACCCTTTTAAAGCTTTGGCACTCCATCATGGGAAAACAGAACTCGAGGTGGCTGAAGAATTTTGCAGGAGAGTTGCCGGGAATATTATGAACAAGAGCATCGACGCCGTGATCGTTCCTGAGACGCGATTACCAGAAATGGACATTCCATTCACCATGGAAGAACTGGAAGGTGCTTTAGTCGCTTCTAAGCGCATGTCATCGCCAGGTCCTGACGGTATTACTTATAGTGCGTTGGGACACCTTGGACAAAAAGCCAGAAAAGAACTTTTAACATGCTTCAACAACTCCTGGCTCAGCGGCAGTGTTCCCCGAGAATGGAAAATAAGTCGATTAATACCACTTTTGAAATCGGGAAAATCACCATTGGACTTGACAGCGTATCGCCCCATTGCCCTCGCAAGCTGCCTCGGAAAGAATGGTTCTATTTCGTCTCGAGTGGTACTTGGAACGATACACCAAATACCCTTCTTGCATGGCAGGCTTTCGTCGGGGCCGCTCCTCCATCGACTGTGTGCTTGACTTATCGACATTTGTTCAACAAGAAAAAAGTCGCAAGCGCATATCAGTGGCACTCTTTCTTGACGTGAAGGGTGCATATGATAATGTAGCTCACGATGCCATCCTCACTTCTCTCGCAGCAATGGGCATTGGTGGACGAATGTTTCATTGGATAAAAGATTATATAACTGGCAGGTGTTTCTTTGTGCAAACATATGAGGGTACAACTGCTGAACATTACACCTATACGTACTGCGGCGTACCTCATGGAGGTGTTTTAAGCCCCACATTGTTCAATGTTGCCCTCATTGGTCTGGTGAAGGTTCTGCCAAAGTCGGTGTGCCTATCCATATACGCTGATGATATTTGCCTCTGGAGTGCTGCAGTTACTCGCCCTCAGGTGCGTGCACGAATACAGCAGGCAGCAACCCTCACAACAGCCTACCTTCAGAAACAAGGCCTAACTATATCAACTGTGAAGTGCGCGTTGATGGCGTTTACACGCAAACCAATGACGCCATACCCTGTTTACATCAATGGACAGAGTGTCAAATATGCACGGGACGCATCGTTTCCTGGGCATTATAATCGACAGAAGTCTTTCGTGGAGCCCACATTGTGCGTACTTGAAGAAGAGACTGCTATCTATTGTGCATATAATGAAATTCATGTGCGGGAAAGCATGGGGAACTTCTGTTGCCTCCATACTACAGCTGTACAGGGCCCTATTTCTGGGTCTATTGCGCTACAGCTTGCCGGCACTGACTAACACTTGCAAATCCAATACTCATTCATTGGAGAGTTTGCAGGCTCAGGCACTGCGTATCTGCCTAGGACTGCCCCGATGCGCTTCTACTTATGCCACAATCATGCTTGCCAAAGACCCTCCGGTCAGGACATATAGAGTTGTGGATTGCCTCAGAGCGCACATTCGACATGCTAGCAGTGTCCCCGGCCACCACTTGGCCCTTATACCCTCCAGAAGACCACGTGCTACGTTTTCAGACGTCATAGCCAAGCACCTAAACAGCATTCCATCAGGATATACGCCAGCTGCGAGAATGGCATGTCCTTTGTGGTGCCTCGACCAGCCGCAAGTACGTCTAGAAATTCCGGGAATCAAAAAGAAAAGCAATCACTCCAGAGTAGCATTGAAGCAGGCAACACTGCTATTATTACATGAGTTGTACTTAGACCGAGCGCAGATATACACTGATGGGTCCGTCTCGTCCAGCAGCTCATCAGGTGCCGCTGTAATTCCGGCTGCAGCAATGACAATCAAGTTTAAGTTGTCGCATTAGACTACATCTACGGCATCAGAGCTTGCTGCTATAAGGGCTGCTTTACAATATCTCGTTCAAGAACGTCGAGGAAATTGGGTCATATTTTGTGATTCGAAGGCAGGGCTTCAGAGTTTGCAGTCTGCCATGCGTAGGAGGAGTCATGACCAATTGGTACAAGAAATAAGACATTGCCACCATGAAGCTCTAGCACGAGGGCATGATATTATATATCAATGGCTGCCTGGACATATCGGTATTACCGGAAATCAATTAGCCGATGATGCAGCCCGCTCAGCCCATGAAGGAACCTGTGTAGTCCCGATTCCTCTATCAAGGAATGATGCAGCAAGACAATTTTACCTGCTGGCTCGAGATCTCACACGCACGTTCTGGTCGTCTACCAGCTTCCAAAGGTGTCAATTTTATGAACTGGATCCTTCGCTCAAGCTAAAGCTACCATCACAACTTTCCCGTTCCGATGCGACACTGTTATGCCGCCTTTGGTTGGGTGTTGCATTTACAAAGGTGTACTCCTTTCGCATTGGTATGGCAGACACTTCTACATGCGACTACTACGGAGCTGAAGAGACCATCGAACACTTCCTGTGCAGCTGCGCTTGCTACGACACACAGCGATGCCAGCTCCGGATGGTTTTGAATCAACTTGACCCCGGACCATTTTGTGTGCAGAAGATACTAGGACCTTGGGCATCTGCCTCAGTTGCGCAGAAAGCAACTAAAGCACTGCTAATTTACCTAAAGTCAACAAACCTGAGCGACCGCCTGTAGACTGTGTGTGCTCCCCGAGTGTGCTCGTGATTGTGTGTACCTTCTCATCTCCCTGCAACCTCTTTTCTCCCCTTTATCCCTTCCCCAGTGCAGGGTAGCAAACCGGATGTGCGTCTGGTTAGCCTCCCTGCCTTTCCTTGCATTTTTATCTCTCTCTCAGATTATGTGTCGCTGTTTAGACTGACGAGGCATCATTGGGAGTCGCGTTGCCAACAATTTACACCACAATTATATCCTGATTCACGATATGTTCTTTTCAGTTAAGAGTAAGCATGTGGGGTGCAAATGGTTCATACTTACATAGTGGTCGATGCTGCTGCTTTCCGTTATATCACGGAGTAACAGCTTTTCAGCCAGCACGGATGCTTTCGTTAATTTCAAAGAGTGGCCATCCTGAATCATGAGAAGTTTTTCGAAGCTCGGTTCTCTGCTCTCGAAAACCATGGGATGAACTATAGCCGCCTCTTCTACCAAGTCTCCCTGGCAGCTGAAAACTGAATAAAAAATCTGTTACATAAATGTTGTATATTAGAATAGTTTTCTTGAGGTCGCGACTAACTCATGTCAGCTGTCAAAGCAGAAAAATGAGGAAGCTCTATTCTGTAATGCTTTCGAGAAGTTCCTTTAAGTTTGTAGTTACAGCATGCTTAAGAAGTGGTGAACAGATGAATTTTCATATAACCTTGATAATAGGAAGCTTTGGCCCACAGCAGGGTAGTTCGCTTTTGCTCGCTATATAATTTGCCTTTTTCGTACCAGTCTAACGCTTTAAACACTCACACAAAAAATTTTGAAAACTGCAAGGTGTATTGCCAATATATTGCTAATGATGACAAAAAAATTTCTATTTTGTATTTTGGGTATATATGCTGACAAACCGTAAGATAAATAACAGAAGCTGTTAGAGTAATATTTTGAGCAGTTCGTTCATTGGGCCACTGGACTTGTTGAACCTATATTGTTCTTTGGTGCATATTTGTGTTTTCTTGCATTATCACTTCCAACCGCAGTCGTTTCTTATGACGTCGCATTATATACATGTTTATATAATAACATGTATATATATCAACATTACAACATGTATATAAAATATATACATGTTTATATAATAGTAGACACGACAAGAAATAACAGGGAGCTCGACCTTTATGAAACCCTTCACTTGCTGGTCCCAAAACCACCATATGGTTATGATAGACGCCGTAGTGGAGGGCTCCGGAAATTTCGACCACCTGTGGTTTTTCAATGTGCACCCAAATCTGAGCACACGGGCCTACAACATTTCCGCCTCCATAGGAAATGCAGCTGCCGCCGCCCCGATTCGATCCGGCGACTTGCGGGTCAACAGCTGAGTGCCTCAGCCACTAGACCACCGCGGCGGGACAGTTTCGGCTATTCCTATACTGTCTTGCTACAATGGCAGGCAATGTAATATTGAACAAGGTCTTGATATAAACAAAAAAATTACTACAAGTTGTGGAAGAAGCAATCGCAAGAAGCAATGTGCGTCAATGAGTGCGTTTAGTTTTTTTTTTTCAAATAATAAGAATTCTTTTTACGCGAATGCAGATTGACGCATACTGACATTAATATTCATGTTTTGTAGCAGTGATCTTATGTCTCGCAGTGGTTAGCAATGCATTGGAAAGAATAGTTATTGAGTGTAGGAACCCTCACCTAATTAAATGATCGTCTTTGACTGAAAAGTTTCGGATGGGCGTAAAAAAAGTGCCGTTCTATCTCTTGACTTGTACGAAAAAAAAAAAAGACCGATCCCGTTCCAGCAGATGTTGAAGCAAATAAAGCAGAGTTCCACAATGAGAGCGTCAAATTACCGCTGGAAATTCTGGATGCTACAGGAGATTCATAATGTGTTTCAATAATGTTGAGAGTTGGGCCGGTTGGTGACTGTTCATTATACCTTGTGGTTAAGTATGGCGTAATTTTTTTCAGAGACAACAGAGACAAGAATGCCCCTGTAGAAGCAAGTGTCATGTATTTATTGTTCCCGGTGCCCTGTAAAAAGGTGCGCTGTACAGTGGTCTGAGAACTGACTAACCTCCCTGTCCTTCCGCTTAAACTTTCCTCCTCCTCCTCCTGTACCTAACCATACGGTATAATGATTCGTAACGTGGCTAGGTTTAAAGTTTTCAGCTAGGACTGCATAACATTTATGAAAAAAAAAAAGAATCGCGCTTCGGGTAAGTAATTCATTTGACATTTATAAATGTCACATCATCATCAACTTATCAAATGATAAAAAATGATGACCTACCGTAAGCTTATTTTGTTTATGCAACAGTATGCACTGTATACATATTCGAATTCTCACTACTTGCTTTAGGTTGCAGTTGAAGCCAATCGGTCATAAACTCCTAGACAACAAGTCGGCTATGAAAGCATGACGTCAGGAAGCCCTTAAAGTTTGCATCAAGTGCCATGTATGCAGAAGCAACGATAAAATTTGTATCAAAATATAACATAAGCAATGCGCTTACGGATTAGAACGCTGTAGAAAAAAGATACCAAGACGGCAGTTTCCATGTCGAGCGGCACGCCCGAAGAGTCCAGCAATTTTCCCGGCATGATGCGACACCTGAGTTTATATGTCGCAATAGACAGCGACGAATGAGGTGTCATGGCGACTTGACTGTGCTCTTTTACACATAATGTCACTGCGTTGTTCAGATCATGCCCGCATACGGCGTCTTTTTTCTTCTTCGTGTATCCACAATGAAAAAAGAAAGAAATATGCTGTATAAAGCCGCCGTTACTTCCTCTTGCCTCCAGGCGCGAAGGTAATCAGCACAAAGATTATTAAAATTGACCCGGGTTTCCATACGTTTGCAATTGCATGAACTACACAAGGAATTTATCATCCCAGTATTTCGTCTTGAATATGATACTGTTCTGAAGAGTTTTTCATCCGACATGATGTATACCTATGTCGCTTTAACTGCGAATGATTACTAAGAATGACAATATATTACGCGTGAGTACATGCATATGCGTCTTAAGAATTACAATAACCTAAACAGTGCCAAATAAATTATTAGTTAGTGATTAAAATATGAGTTACAGTTGGTAACAACCATCCTTATTGCATTGTTAACATACGCAGCGTAAATTTAGAAGTTTGTAAAAATTATTCTTTCTTTAATAGGCTTATCGTGAATTGAGTGCCTTATTAGGTCAGTTATTCTATTATCCGGATTTATTATTATTAGTTTTATTATATTATTACTTTTATTAAACTTTTATTATTACTGAACTTTTATTATTATTATTTTATTATTATTATTTTAAACTTTTATTAGTTTTTACTGAATAACCCTTCCTCACTGTTTCTAATTTATTATTTTATCGTGCTATTTTATTATTTTAATGTATCTGCATACAGGCACTTCTTTCATACGTTTATGAGCTCATGTGTTTCATCTTATGGTTCTTACGCTGCTTTATTTACGTTGGATACTTTTCCATATTTCAAATGACTAAATTTTCCAGGCCTACGATTGTCTTTGGCTTCTTAATTCTGTAAAACCCCTCCCCTCCTCTTACAATACTCTAGAGACTGTAACCTGAGAGGTTTCCGTGCCAATAAATAAATAAATAAATAAATAAATAAATAAATAAATAAATAAATAAATAAATAAATAAATTAGCGCAACCACCATACATTGAAATAACCCACAGCATCAGCATGGTGCATGAATGTTGAATTAAATTCTAATTTTGATGTGCAGAAATGTACAAGTCATTTCAGTAGAAGTGACACTAGTGACTTCTCTTCGGGCAGTTCATGACCAAAAATTTCAGTGAAGAATCCGAAGTGAAGTGCGATTTGGTAATTTAGATGAGAATAATGTTGTTGCAGCGGAAAAAAACTTTGCAATTCAGCAGTAACGTCACTCAAAGAAATAAATAAAAAAAATCTGTTTCGCCTACGTACAAGTGATGCAACGACTGAGAAAACAGCGGGAACGGTGTACTTTTGCTCCTCCTATTCCTCGTTTTCACCCCCGGTCTCTTTCGCACTCTTTTGATATACTGTGCTGTGAAAAGTTTTGCTTCAGCCTCTCTCCGCCCCGCCGCGGTGGTCTAGTGGTTAAGGTACGCGGCTGCTGACCCGCAGGGCGCGGGTTCGAATCTCGGCTGCGGCGGCTGCATTTCCGATGGAGGCGGAAATGTTGTAGGCCCGTGTGCTCAGATTTGGGCGCACGTTAAAGAACCCCAGGTGGTCTAAATTTCCGGAGCCCTCCCCTACGGCGTCTCTCATAATCATATAGTGGTTTCGGGACGTTAAACCCCACATATCAATCAATCAATCAGCCTCTCTCCCCCTCTTTTGCCTCGTCCTCATCTCCATTTTCTTATCCCGCCTATGACTATACTATTCACACATGGCTGTGCATTGCCTCACCCTCGGCGTCTGCAACTGATTCCAACATCAGCCGTTTTACCGCGATAGCGAGCTCGTTCTGCGGAGATACTGGCGTCAGCGCCGGCGTCATTGGTTGCGACCGAAAAGTCATCATTTTCTCGTGACGGCACAATCGAGAAAGATAGCGCTGAATGAGCAGCGAAGAAAAAAAATGTGCCGCCATATCCACGAAGTGAATGATGATGAGTGTGCGAAGCTCTGAAGGTAAACCTCGTAAACCATGAATCCTCCGTACATTTTGCCCACTCGATTTCATTACAACGCTCCACCTAGCGTACGTCGCCGCTCTAAATCAAACGATTGCCTTCCACAAATGACACGCACCATATGTAACGTCCTTCCCATTTTATAACTTCTCGCATCTTTCGTCATCAACTTCAAGTACTGCCATATAGTTTATAACATCTTGCATCTTTTCATCATCAGCTACAAGTACCGCCATCTAGTGAATACTGCGAGGACTAAACGAGAGGTGGCTACATACAAGGTACGGCACCGCCATCTAGTGAACACTGCAAAAACTAAACGAGAGGTGGCTACATACAGGGGACGCACAGCCCACGCCTTAAGGAGCTTCGCCCCTAAAAAAAGAGGGGGGATCCCTAAGCTTCACCTTTAAGAGTTGAATGTGATAGGAATATCCTGTCAATAGTATATATGTACTTCAAGCACTTCGTGCATAGAATGTTTTCATACTTGTTTATGCACTTACTACGTGCCTTAAGAGAATAGGCGTAGTAACCCGTGTGCCTTTTCTAGTGGATTACCGGCTGTAAACCACAAAGTCATTGTGATAACCACATGTTCTGACGCACGAGGGAAATGTACGCCTGTACCACGCGTTATTAGTGCAATATTTGATGTTGTGTTGTGAAGCATGTACACAGATCGCGTGTTTGTAAAGCATGGGAGCTACGTTTACTTCGTTTTCGACCAGAAAAAGTTATTTTAATTTTTGTTCACAAGCGCATACGTGACTGTGTGATAGAAAATCCTCTCGACACGCAGAATACCCGTGTTCAATTCCCACTCAAAACCAAAATA